CGCCCTGTCACAGACGGGACAGCTCTGGCCTCTGCGTGGGACTGCGGTGCTCTCCCCCTCCTGGCTCACGCAGCATCTGTAGCTGGTGGAGCATGAACCGCCGGCCCCGGGACCATCGGGAGCATTGATCCTCATTGATCCTCGTAGAGCAGGCGCGGGGGAGACCCTCCCCGCGAGCAGCCCCTGTAGTGCCGGCTCTCACCACGTGCAGCCCCTCCAGTTTATGTCTCCCCGACTCTAGTCTCTCTCGCATCTCCTTCAGGCCACTTCCCCTCCCCTCCCACTGCAGGAGGCGTTCTGGGGAGAACCTGATGACGATGACGGCTGAAGACCGACCGGGAAAGGCTTCCAGCAGCATGGGCCCCTTGCCCTCCCGCACTGGCCCTCTCCACTCCGTCTCCCCACCCTCTTCTGCCGCCATCCCCACCCACTTTCCTCCTTCTTCCGTGTACCCCTCCACAGCGCACCTTCCCACCCCAACGCCTCTTATTCCGCTGACTTACAGCCCCCCATGTCTTGGACCCCCTCCACTCCTACCTCACCACCCCCCCCACTCCACCGATCTCCTGCTCAGGTCTCTGGAGCCTCCTACGGTTCCCTCCTCCCGCTCCAGTCCATCCACCTGCCCGTCCATCCACCTCCGCCTATTTCCAACTCCTATTGGTGCTCCCTCCCCTTCACTCCCCCATTTGTCACTGGGAGCGCCCCCTGCGGGTCCCCTCCACTTCTGCCCAACCTCTAGATCGCAAGGCGCCACCAGAAGATCGCCGCCCACTTCCGTCCACGAACTCCTGCGCAGCGTGAAAGGCCCCACATCTACGGGACAGTGCCGCGTCTCTGACACTAAGGATGCCACCCTGAAAAAAAGAGAAGTGGCAATCATTCTAGAAAAGGGCAGTGATCCAAGACAGGAACTGGGTGGATCGGCTATTGAGTACCAGTCCCATGATAAGCAGGGTCGCCAAACCTGAGGATTGGATGGGCCACCTCTGGCCCTTTGCAGGGC